CTTTTCCATCAACTTGAATCAGACAGACCGGTCGCCACTGTGGGGTGTCTCGAGTAGAGATGTCAATTGGACAGGGGCGGCGGATTCGGGGGGGGGGGGGGCAGGGGGGGGGGCAGCTGCCCCCCCCCCTGGCAAACTCGTGGGGGGGGCAAAAGTATCTTTTTGCCCCCCCCATAATTTGTGACAAAGCTTAGACAAGAAACCATATAATATACCTGATTATTCTGTTCGATCATCTGAAGATGTAACCAGATGCCCATATACTTTATCATACGTTGCCTTTCTTAAATGGCAAGCGTTCGCGTTCAAATGAGGTTTTCCTCTCTTCAACCTAGTTTTGGAGGCATGATAAGCGTCAACGTGACGCAGCGGCAACCCAGGCCTTCAATGACCGCTTACAGGGGCGACGGATACGGGGTGGCAGAGGAGGCACCGTCCCATAAGGAACTTTTGGAGGAGGGGCAAACGTGTATTCTTGCCCCTCCATAATTTGTGCCCTAAACATGAGGAAAATTTTCATAACCTGATATTGCAGCTATACGCTTCTACAGTTTGTCCAACGGTGCCTTTTGAATATGTGTAAATGCTACCCATTTCCGCTTTATATCATTTTTTGTCTTCTACATTCGATTTAGAGATATTCCAAGTGTGCGAGAGACTCAACTCATACCTTCAGTGGTCGTTTGCCGCTTTTTTTTTACCTACATAAATGCCAAATCGCAAGCGAGCGGAGACGTAAGGGCTAGCCATTCGCTTGCGGGTAGTTAGGACTGATGAGCGCTCATAATAAGCCACTCCCCTGATTTTTTCGAGCGCTACAGTTTCCAGCGCATAAAATGGTAAACGCCGAGGTCGTACACATTGACCAACTTGACCAATGCACGGTATGGTATGACACCCAAAGGCCAGTCATCAGAGATCTGCCTTGGGCATTCGGAGGCTAGTGTGGGGCCAGTGTAAAAACTGGATGTTCACAGTTCAGTATTCGCTTTATTTCGGTTTTCACTATTAACCCTCGCCCCGTTGGGGGGGGGGGGCATTTTGGCCCCCCCCCTGTGGTTTTAACCCGCGCACCGACGGGGGGGGGGCGGATATCCGCCCCCCCTGAGGTTTTTCGCGAATAGCGGGAAAACCGCGGCGCGTAGCGCCGCGAAATTTGGTATGACTATACCTTCATCAATTTTACACATGGTGTGCAAGTTTGAACCTCCTACCTTTTAAGGTCAGGTCACCAGGTCACTTTGAATGACCCAACCTCAAGTCACTTTTTTGCAACTTTGTCACCGTGCCAGAGCTACAGTAGATGTCGGAGGCCTTTGAAAGTCGCAGGATATTATTAGGTCATTAGTAGCTACAACTTGTATATCTCGGAATTTTGATATCGGTGACCTAAGGTCAGGTCAATTTCGCGACCTCCCCATTATAAGTCAATGGGGGAAAAATCAACTCCCTGTTTTTACCACTAAAACGGGTCGGAATGGCCCCATATACCATACATGACTTCATATACGATCAACCTTCACTACCTTGAGGTCTGTTTTGCTGTTGGGCAGCTGTGAGGTCATGTGACGTCATCAAAGGTCACCAAAGGTTTTTGGCCAATAACTCCGTACAGGAACAAGATACAGACGCGTGGATGGTCTCATTGTGTTCGGCTCGTCAAGACGCATCGAATGATATACATGATGACCTCGAGGTCACGTGACCTGAGGTCAACCTTTGACCTTGACCTTTCGAGGTCAACATATATATCATTCGATGCGGATTGACGAGAGGATCACGATGATGCCCTTAGTTCGTTCCTATCTTGACTAATTCGAAAGTTATTCGAGAAAAACTCTCTCCATATCTAGCGCCGCCATTTTGACTTTTTCGACCCCTGTGACGTCATCTTTGACCTGACCTAAAAATGACCTTAGTAAAAATTGTAGATCTTGACCGTGCGTATCCGATGCCGTTTACCGCTTGTCGCTATCTTGCTTCGTTCTCGAGATCCCCGTCGGTACGAAGTTGGCGCAGACCCCCGTCGGTGCGCGGGTTAAAGAAGTAAAAATTAATGTTGGAAACCTTTGAGGGTTAGGGCACTGATCATTAGTGGGCCCCCCTCTGTCTTAAGACTGGCTATAGAATAAAGAGCAGCAAACACGAACAGTAGCGGCGGAACACCTTCAATTAGGGGGGGGGGGGGCACTGCCAACTTTTGGTCCCATTCTTTCCATGCAACACCCATAGGGCTAACGTTAAAATGCCAAAATCAAGGGGTGCACGGTGCCCCGGTGCCCTCCCCGTTCCGCCGCCTATGAACACGAAAGCAAAATCTAAGGCATTTTGGAAAAATGAGTATGCCCCGCAGTGTCCGATAACTACCACCTTCCAGTGGGTCAAGCCAACGGGCCCTAAGTCTATAATGGCACATAACGATAGCACTAATCTTGTCTCACTTTTCGTTGAAGTCTGTTCCGAATGGTTTCGGCCACAGACTGGCTGCACTGAGGTCGTTTGGATATGTGCAACTGTAATTAAAGCCACCTGAGGCGCCCTGACACCAGGCTGAAGCTGGGTTGGAAATGCTTCGTCTTTGCAGATATCACTGGCCGCTGATTCTCGAGTACCTGAGCCGGTAGATGTTGTGGCAAAATTTGGTGTGATAATTGGGCCCTTACCGCAGTCAGCGCACCCTAAAGCCCTGATAAAGAAACGCCCCACCCAGAGCTTCTGGATTCTCGTTCCAGTCCACCGTTCCTTCACCCCAGCCCCCCGCCGCGCTCCCTCATCTCAGACCTCCGTTCCCAGCTTGACGAGCGTTTGGGCCTTAGTTAAGCCTTGCTGTAGGCTTACTGTATAAACCCATCGAGACAGCCCGTCTCGGTGAGCTTAATTGACAACTACTGCCTTGGGGAGGGTTTCTGGCGGATCGCTTTCCCAATTGGTTTAGATGCGATGACTGTCTCTTAATGTTTGAGCGGTCTCCTCCCGCTGTGAGCTAGTTTCAGTTGACAGTTGATATCTGTCTCAGAAATACTTTTTAACCCGCGCCCTGCTGGGGGGGGTGTTTGAACACCCCCCCCCCCTTGTGGTTTTTCGCGAATATCTCAAAAACGGCGGCGCGGAGCGCCGCCGTTTTTGGTACACCTTATCATACATCAATTCTACACATGTTGTGAAAATTTCAGACCAAGGTCATTCAAGGTCAGGTCACCAGGTCACTTGAAGTGACCTCACCTCATAAAAAGTTTCAATGTCTGTCATAGCTACACCGAGTGACCGATCGCTTTGAAACTTTCAGCGATTGCTAAGAGCAATAGCATGTACAAAATGTTTATCTCAGAATTTTGATATCGATGACCTAAGGTCAGGTCAATTTTGCGACCTCCCCATTATAAGTGAATGGGAGAAAATTGAAATGCGTCTCTTTTGGACAAAAGACATTATAAACACTCCCAAACACTGAATTACAAGTGGTTTAGACACAATGAACATGAAAATGGTGTCCGTGACCCCTGTTTATGCCCTGAGGTCATCTTAGGTCACGAATGGTATCTAACAGTTTTTCGCAAATAACTTTTGATAGAGGCATGCTAGAGCGATGAAAACACCTTAGATGTGTTCAGCTCGACGATACGGATCGACTGATATGCAACATGACCCTTTCCGGTCAGGTCATGACCTTGACCTGAGGTCAAATTTTCAAGTTGACCTTTCAAGGTCAAATTATAGTTCATTCGATGCGTCTTGACGAGAGGAACACGATACCGGTAAAAGTAAGCTCGTACAATGCTTGGGTCAAAAGTTATTGCAGAAAAACTGTTTCCGAAAAAATCGGCTATTTTTGCAGTTTTTGCCCCCTGCAGGCAAAACCGTTGACGTTAGGTCAAATCTGAGAACATTACTCAGATAGGGCGTTAATAGGGCTATCGAATGCGCTTTTCCGCGGCGCTGTAGCTCTATTGGTTCCCGAGTTATGCGTCGGCTTCTTGGAACTTTTCGACATTCGACCTGGAAATCGGCGAAATTTTGCCTTCAATGACCTCTGGTGACCTGACCTTTGACCTGACCAAAAAATTGACCGAAGTGATTTCGTCATTATTTTTGACGCTCTTTCGAACGCCGCCTTCCGCGTATCGCTACGTGGCCCAGGAGCCGAGTTAGAAGGGGGGGGGGTGTTCAAACACCCCCCCCCCAGCAGGGCGTGGAAATCCAGGACCCCCAGCCGGGCGCGGGTTAAAGGAAGGGTAAACGGAAATCGAACGTAAAATGAACAGAGGAAATGGTAACGAGTTACCTCATTGAAGAATAGCGCTCGCCTACTTCAAAAGGTTTGGCACCGTTCTTCAACATCTGATATGCGACCCAGACCGGGTTATGGCACAATTTTTCCCATTGGAGCTTTTTTCTAATACAGCAATACGAAAAGCGTTACATCGTCCACTGGCGGATCCAGGGAGCGGACATTTAAAGCAAATATTTACTCCCCCTCCCCCTGGCCCATGCATCGCCCGAAATAGACAAAACGTACCTTATGTTTCCTAATAATAACACTTTTATCAGGACTTTTTTTGCTTTATACTGTTCAGCAGTAGGTCTGTAAGGAATCGAAATCAGAGGAGTTTTTGGATTTCGGACACTTTTTTTTGGGGGGGGGGTATGTCCCCTACAGCGGCGAAAACGCCTTTCTGGATCCGCCTATGACATCATCTCGACTGGGATCTTGCCCCCCCACGCCAAAATCGAATCCGCCGCCACTGCAATTGGATACCAATATTTTTGGAATACCGATATCAAACCGATACAAACTGGCATTTAGCATTTCAAAATAAATAAAATGTCTTTGTTTGTTACTTTTGGAACCAACTTACCTTCATTTTAACATTCCAGTAAGAATGCATCAAACTATCACTTTTAGACCCAATCTTACCTCAGCGTTTCAACTTTCCAGCATCGCGGAGAGATCGATCAGGTTCTCTTATGGTTGTGACAGGTCACCATTGGCCCTCTCTCACCTCAACGGGGGCTCGTCAAGACCCAAGTTGCCGGCCAATCCAAACCTGGCGACGGAGGAGAGCGTGTCACACGTTTTGACACGGAATTCGACTCAGGGTGTTGTAAAGCGTGGTAAACGCATCGAGGATAATCTGCCCATCTTCTTCTTGGCGGGGTGCTATTACGCTTCTGCCAAACCTTTGCTACGCACAGACCACAGCATTTGATCAAGCTACATACCTACATGCGCATTGCTAATTGCTCGGTACAGAATGGTCAGCGTCCAATGTCAATTCAAAGACACACGAATACGATCCCCAGTTCCCGTACGAAAATCATAATTCTAACAATTAGTTATCATCATTGAAAATCCCTTACTCCGAATACCTTTGGACACAAATTGAGAGTTATCGATGTCTGAGACTGAGCCTAATCGCCCCGCCAATGCCACGATTGCCAACCGATCTCACTCTTCAACAACGGCCCAACTGTGTCCCCACTTAAAGTGACCATCCCACCTTAACATTAGTTTTGAGTTGAGATAGCCAAATTGGTGGCCATGGCCTACAAATACCGGTTTGGGCACTCACAACATCGAAAAATGCTTTAATTCGGAGATATGGAATTTCAAACTTGTAGTTTTCGGATTCTAAGGGGCTAATGCATTGGAATGCCCCCTTAGAATGTGTGACGTCAGCGGAGATCTAACGATTTTTAAATCTTAGACTAAAACCATCGTTAACACGTGATGGTATACACTGCTTTGCGCGCAACGTCTGCCGCACTTCGAGGCTGCCAAATTATTGCTTCCAAATAAGTTGCTAGAAACAACGGAGATCCCAAAAATTAAAGAAAAGTAAAAGCCTAATATCTTGAAAACCAGTGAATATTTTTCGGTGAAATTTGGTAGATATTTATTTTTGATCTTTCTTCCGAACCAAGCGACATCACTTTTAAGTATGCCAATTCATTATAATGATTTTTTTTTGAAGGTGGGAGGGTCCCTTTAGGCTTTAACGGTCCAACAGCCCGCTGTGTTCCCACCTAACCTAACCCTCCGCTCATTTCCCAATCCAACCTCATCCACTTAAATTTCGGGATTTTCCAGGGCCCTGCGCCGTTTACGGCGCGCTCTCACCTGACGCGACGATTCCGGCGCAGCGGTCGTCACGCTGGCGGCGTATGTGGCGCATCGTGTGACGTAAACAGATGGAGTAACACCACAGACGTAACGGAATGGGGCGACCATTGCGATAGTCGGGGGTAATGGCGATTCGTTCGGCTACAGAGCGGGTAATTGGATGGGGCGACGAATTTTGCTTCTGTCTCATACCGTAGGTTATTTGTCACGGGACTTGTATAAACAGTCGAGAACGCGCAGCAGTGGTCTTCTTACATGAACGTTGTTTAAAAGGAAGGCCCATACTTGGCGTCTGGCGATGAATGACTGCAATCACAAGTTCGCTGTCTCCCCGAACGCCTCTTTTATTTTCATTCTCTCTCTCTCTCTCTCCCTCTCTCTCTCTCTCTCTCTCTCTCTCTCTCTCTCTCTCTCTCTCTCTCTCTCTCTCTATCTCCCTCTCTCTCTCTCTCGCCCTCTCTCTCTCCCTCTTTCTGTCCTTCGCTGACTCTTTCTCTCTCCCTATTTTCTTTTTTCTATATGCAACAAGAAAACAACATTTTAATCCTGCAAGCCATTTCTGGTGGTAAGCGTAAGAAAAAATACGAACCATGACAATGGGAAAAATACCGAAAACCAAACCAAGAGGTAAAGATTGATATTCATTTCAATCTATTGAGCACATCCAGAGTATCTTATACGCTATTGATACTTCATAATGGTAATAACACCCGCACCGACGCGACGGGGGGGGGGCGGATATCCGCCCCCCCGAGGTTTTTCGCGGATAGCGGGAAAACCGCGGCGCGTAGCGCCGCGAAATTTGGTATGACTATACCTTCATCAATTTTACACATGGTGTGCAAGTTTGAACCTCCTACCTTTTAAGGTCAGGTCACCAGGTCACTTTGAATGACCCAACCTCAAGTCACTTTTTTGCAACTTTGTCACCGTGCCAGAGCTACAGTAGATGTCGAAGGCCTTTGAAAGTCGCAGGATGTTATTAGGTCATCAGTAGCTACAATTTAAATATCTCGGAATTTTGATGTCGGTAACCTAAGGTCAGGTCAATTTCGCGACCTCCCCATTATAAGTCAATGGGGGAAAAATCAACTCCCTGTTTTTACGACTAAAACGGGTCGGAATGGCCCCATATAGCATACATGACTTCATATACGATCAACCTTTACTACCTTGAGGTCTGTTTTGCTGTTGGGAAGCTGTGAGGTCATGTGACGTCATCAAAGGTCACCAAAGGTTTTTTGCCAATAACTCCGTACAGGAACAAGATAAAGCCGCGCGGATGGTCTCATTGTGTTCAGCTCGTCAAGACGCATCGAATGATATACATGATGACCTCAAGGTCACGTGACCTGTGGTCAACCTTTGACCTTGACCTTTCGAGGTCAACATATATATCGTTCGATGCGGATTGACGAGAGGATCACGATGATGCCCTTAGTTTGTTCCTATCATGACTAATTCGAAAGTTATTCGAGAAAAACTCTCCTTATCTAGCGCCGCCATTTTGACTTTTTCGACCCCTGTGCCGTCATCTTTGACCTGACCTGAAAATGACCTTTGTAAAAATTTTAGACCTTGTCCGTGCGTATCCGATGCCGTTTACCGCTTGTCGCTATCTTGCTTCGTTCTCGAGATCTCAGGGGGGGGGGGCGGTCATCCGCCCCCCCCGTCGGTATGAAGTTGGCGCAGACCCCCGTCGGTGCGCGGGATAAAATGAAAACTGACTTTGGTTTGACGTTCTAAGTTCGTGGGGCAAATGTCCCGAATGCCCACCTTGGATTCACCATCTCGAAAAAGAAAAAAAAACGAATGTAGGTACAGCCCTCAGCAGACTGCGTGGTAGGTATTTTTTTTTTTTGTTGACAAAACCGATAATAGCTCAAATGTTATCAACCGGTTATCAGCTATGTTATCCCGGCAGTTGTTGGGGTATTTCGCCACCCACCGTTTGCTGGGGGGGGGGGGGGGGCGTTAACCCGGCAGTTGCTGGGGTATTTCGCCACCCACCGTTTGCTGGGGGGGGGGGCGTTAAACGCCCCCAGCCGATAACTCGAGAACCAATAGGCGCAGCGAAACGCACGAGGCGGCAAACGAAAGAACGCGACGAGACGCTTCAGATGAGTACTTTAAAGTTGAATTTTGAGGTCACAGGTCGGGTCAAGGTCAGGTCAAACACCTGAAATCGGGCTTTCAGTAGCATGGACTTCAGGACTTCGCAAAGGGCGCCTCTCGTCATAAACTCTGTCAAAACGGTGCACAATCCATCATATAAGGCCTACAATAGTGTCAGCTCCATGTAGGGGTCAGTAAAGCATAGGTCAGGGTCAAGGTCAGGTCAACCGGGTAGGCACATATCCCCGAAAATCAAAACTGATATTGGCAGCCTGTGACACATGTTTTATGGGTAATTTGGAGCGTAGAACACGATGGTGACATTCATTTTATCATATGTGTACGTGTTTGGCTTGAAAAGTTCAATTTAAGAAATGCATGTATCATGGTCGAGAAGTAGTCAAGAGAAATTGCCAAGATTTAGTTCAAGATTTTGGAAAATTCGGAACGATAATCAATAATCGAAGATAGCCATTTGATTGTTCATGGTATTGGCAGTCTAATGGCGTTTACGGCATGTCTGTATGTCTATTCTGTGATTTTATATGATTTTTTGAACATATGCCGTTTTTGGTCGAAAACTCAGAAATCATGACGTCACTAAAACCTCGATATCTCAAAAATTTTCCGACCGATTTTTTGAAACTTTGTCACAATACACCTCAATCAATTCCCTACAGGTACCCAAAATTTGGCGCGCCTGCGGCGCGCCGTTTTTATGCTATAGCCCGGCGAAAAAAGTGGGGGCGTTAAACGCCCCCCCCCCCCAGCAACTCGCGGGTTAAACGCCCCCAGCCGATAACTCGAGAACCAATAGGCGCAGCGAAACGCACGAGGCGGCAAACGAAAGAACGCCACGAGACGCTTCAGATGAGTACCTTAAAATTGAATTTTGAGGTCACAGGTCGGGTCAAGGTCAGGTCAAACACCTGAAATCGGGCTTTCAGTAGCATGGACTTCAGGACTTCGCAATGGGCGCCTCTCCTCATAAGCTCTGTCAAAACGGTGCACAATCCATCATATAAGGCCTACAAGAGTGTCAGCTTCATGTAGGGGTCAGTCAAGCATAGGTCAGGGTCAAGGTCAGGTCAACCGGGTAGGCACATATCCCCGAAAATCAAAACTGATATTCGCAGCATGTGACACATGTTTTATGGGTAATTTGGGGCGTAGAACACGATGGTGACATTCATTTTACCCTAAACTGATGAGGCTGTGAATTGTTAAACATTTCAAACGACGACGCAGGGGTATTCTAAAGCGCTTTGGTGAAATATTCAAAGTTGTGTCGCCGAAACATGAAACGCAAGCTGTCGTCATTAAGCAAGTCCATCATATCATATCGTTAAGTCCTACATAGTGCACTTTACGGTGCACTTTACGGGACTCATCTTGACGACATATCTGTTAGCTGCTGGGCTCGCCAGTGAGCGACTTCATAGACAGCCAGGCTGATAGCAGGCCCCCAGTTGACACAGGGGCCTATACAGTGAGAAAGCTGGTTCGTCAACCCAGCCGCTACCTCGTTCTACCGGGAACAGGACCACAAAGTCCTGACCGGAGAGGTGGTTAGGCTGCCCCTCCAACCATTGGGGACCGGTAGACGGCACGGTGCCGCAGCCGTCGGCGCCGACGAACTGCCCCTCGGTGACGGTGTCGTTGATACCCAGCCACACTTCGACATCAGTGGCGGCGTTAATGGCGCACTGGTTCTCCTCGTCAGAGCGGGGCACGGCCAGGTGGGCGCCCAGCGCGGCGCACTGGCTCTCCGCTTCGGGGTAGGTGACTGCCAGGTCCAGTCGCTTCAGA